CTAGGTACACCATTCAATTTGTTTTGAAGTCAATGAGGCAGCACCTTCACCTTTGGCTACTTGAGCTCAACAGGCCAGCTGCTCTGTTTATTATTAAGCTTCCTGTGCATTCTGAACTCAACTCCCTGGAGGTCGAAGTAATCCACCTCACTGATATTTCTGCCAAATGGTACTCTTAAGGAGACCCAAGAGCCAAACCTCTGTCATGGTCCAAAAGAATGCTCTTGCACATGATAATTTGGAAGAATTGACCAGATACACCCAACAATTGACCACAAAAAAGTAAAAACAACATTGGAAATTTAAAAACTTGATCTGATAAAAAAGAATCTTATTTGGACTAAATGAAAATACGGCCCTACCAGAAATTCTAAAATTCCCACTATTTACCAATGTATAACCATTGGTCTACTGACAAAATGATAGTGTTTATAAACCAATATTGGTGAGGAAATGTTAATAAGGCCACAAAAAGCCCACTTCTCTTGTCCTGTTTGTCGAGATGTACAAGGAAATCTGTTCAAACTGCTCACAGACACTTTGAACTGCCCAGTGGAACATTTGATGTTTGGCAAATGAATTTCATACAGTTTTCCCTGTCTCATGGATATAAATACGTTTTAATCATGAATTATATGTTTTCTCAGTGGACCAAAGCTGTCCCTTTTAGAGAGGCCACTGCTTCTTCTGTGGCCAAAACTCTGTTAGAAAAGATTACCCCTATCTGAGAAACACCTTTCAAACATCATGGTGGTTGGGCAACCCATTTTACCCATAAGGTGCTTCAACAGTTCTGCTTGGCTGGTTTTACACTTTGATTGTGCATACCATCCTCAGTCCTCAGGGTTAGTTGAACACATTAATGGCACCATTAAGACTCAATTGGTAGGGATGCCTAGGTGGCTCAGTAAACATCCAGCTTCAGCTCAGGTCATGATCTCGCGGTTTGTGGGTTTGAGCCCTGCATCCGGCTCTGTGCTGACAGCTCAGAGCCTGGAGCCTGCTTCAGATTCTGTGTCTCCCTCTCTCTCTGCCCCTCCCCTGCTCACGCTGTCTCTCTTTCTCTCTCTCCAAATAAGGCATTTAAAAAAACCTTTTTTTTAAAGACTCATTTGACAAAATGTGTAGAGATCCTCTGATATACATTGTCCAAAAATATTGCCTTCCAAATGGTCCTTCCAAATCTCAGATCCCCCACTGTCCACAGACTCTTTTCCTTTGAGATAGTTACAGGCCATCTAGTGCACTTGGCTTTGCCTCCCCTGACTCACAGTTGATAAAAGGAGACATCCTTCAAAATTGTAAAGGCCTAATTAATTGCTTCTATTAAAAATAACAATGTTTTGGTAGAGCAGTCTTTTCACAGTGCTCTCCCAAGAGGTGGAGACCTTAAGCATCACACCTTGCAATATGAAGATTTCGTCTACTGGAAAGGACACCTCCAGAAAGACTTCAAGTTCGACAGAAATTCCCCAGTTGGGTACTGCTAACCAACCCTTGTGCTGCCAAACTCCAGGGAATAGACTCTTGCGTTCATGTAACACATTTAAAGAAAGCACCAGACTCTTACTGGACCTGTATGCCATCTGGTGACCTGCAAGGAAAGATTCCCTGGAACTGAAGCGTAAGACATCTGATGAACAGCTTTCCCAAGATGTTTGGACCCTGCCTGTTTGAAGGTTCAGGATTTACAAAAGCTTCTTTTTTTAATCTGAACTATTAATGGACTCTCAATTCATACCCAAATTCATGGTGTCTGAACTTAAAACTTTAAGACTGTATTATTGATAACATCTTTGGCCCCAAACAGTTCTTTTGAGATAACAATGCTGTTTAAAAATGTCTTTGAGGGGCACCTGGGTGGCTCAGTCGGATAAGCATCCGACTTCGGCTCACGTCATGATCTCACAGTTTGTGGGTTCGAGCCCCGCGTCGGGCTCTGTGCTGACAGCTAGGTCAGAGCCTGGAGCCTGTTTCGGATTCTGTGTCTCCCTCTCTCTCTGACCCTCCCCTGCTTGCTCATGCGTGCTCTCTCTCTGTCTCTCAGAAATAAATGATATATAAATTTTAAAAAAGTCTTTGAAGTCTTGCTGTTTTGCAAAACGCTCATCAACTGTCACGTCATGTTTATACCTGCACTGCATCTTCCCAGATGCACTTGGCTAATTCTTCCAGTGTGCTCCTGCACTATTCTGCATTCACAGCCTCTTTAAATGGGTATTTCCAGGAAGTATACATGACTCTAGGTTTGTCTCCAGGTTAAGTCAGAATAAGAGCAGGTAAATATTTTCAGTTGGCTACTTTCAGATCTAGAGTCTTGGCTTAGAACCACTATACTCTTTGGAATTGTTATTTTACTTTTGACTCTGTACTTGTTACCTGTCAAGATTTTGTAAAAATAATGTACCCAAAGAATATGATCTCCACTGCTTACAATTTTGATAAATATTGCCTATAGGTGGGGCAGACTGATAGATCTCCCTCTTACCCCTCCTTGTTACTCAAATATGGCCTCAGTAGGTTTCCAATCTACTATACAATCTACACAATTTCCCTCCAACATGAGACACGACATCCAGGAAAGGTCTTTCCTGGCACCGAGGGACAAAAGGCCACCGAATTAAGAAGAAAACTGACTCTTGGGGCGCCTGGGTGGCTTAGTCGGGTAAGCGTCCGACTTTCGCTTAGGTCATGATCTCGCGGTTCGTGGGTTCGAGCCCCGCATCAGGCTCTGTGATGACTGCCAGCTCAGAGCCTGGAGCCTATTTCAGAGTCTGTGTCTCCCTCTCTCTCTGACCCTCCCCTGCTCACGCTGTCTCTCTCTCTCCTAGAAATAAATTTAAAAAAATTAAAAAATTAAAAAATTAAAAAAAAGAAGAAAACTGCCTCTTGATCAGCAATGCTTTCAGAGAAGGATCCTGATCAAAAGGGGGAAATGTGAAAATGAATAAAGGAAAACCTCACTAAAACGGAGTTGGGAGACCGGAAGGAGGAGCTCTCACCCAGTACCACTGGGAGTCAAGAATTGCTGATTACTGAGGCCAACAGAAGAATCCACAGAGAAGAATCCAGCAGGAAATGATGCACACTGCATCTGCTACAAGAAATCAACCACTCCAGCAACTCAACCAAAGAGAGACCACATTCACCCTGAACTCTTGCTTTTCTCCAGTGGACTTGTGTTCAAAACAATCCTTCCCAACTTTCTCTTCTCCATAAATAGGTTCCTTTCTTTGGTTTGCTGAACTAGTCTATGGTTTTTACAATAATTACTTGTCCTGAATTGGAACAAAAGAAACCCACTTTTGCTAGCAAAATAACTGATGTGTTTTTAAGATCTACCATATGAAACCATGTTAAGCCCACACCTGCTTAAGTCTAAGAGCAATTAGTCTTGATAGTCTTACCATTTGAATCATATAGCCTGTAAGAATGTGTCCCTTGCACAATAGATCTACCTGTGCTTTATGAAACCTTCCTATGTATGATTTTTAAAAAATTAAATGCACCTGAGGGTGCCTGGATGTCTCGGGCAGTTAAGTATTGGACTTCAGCAGGAATCATGATCTTGCAGTTCATGAGTTCAAGCCCCATGTTGGGGTTTGTGCTGACAGCTTGGAGCCTGGACCCTGCTTCAGATTCTGTGTCTCCCTCTTTCTCTGCCCCTTCCCCGCTCATGACCTGTCTCTCCCCTCTCAAGAATAAATAAGCATTAAAAAGAGTTTTTTAATTTTTAAAAACTAAATGCATGTAAAGGTATACCTATGTGTTTATGCAAAAATTCTAACCATTACTTATGACGCTGCTTGCTGACTCAGAGTGCTTGTATTTTGTATCAGAAAAAAACATCATCATTGGTTCTGCAAAGAGAGGTCCCTGGCAACCCCCTACAGCAGTATATATACGAACCTTGTGATGATGATGAATAGTAACAATAACAGCTTATATGTATTTAGCACTAGGCCCTTATCGTTAAGCGCTTATCATCATCCACAAAGTAGGTTGTAGTAGTTTCGCATTTTAGTTATTAAATTGAGGGGGAAGGAGGACTGTCATGACTTTTATTTTTTCTTATTTTTCTTATATTTATTTCAGAGAGAGAGAGAGAGAGACAGAATCGGAAGCAGTCTCCAGGCTCTGAGCTAGCTGTCAGCACAGAGCCCGACGCGGGGCTCGAACCCACCAACCGCGAGATCGTGATCTGAGCTCAAGTCGGACGCTCAACCGACTGAGCCACCCAGGCGCCCCGGTCGTGACTTTGAAGAGAGTTCCAGTTCTCCAGCTTACGCCAGGTCCCCTCTCCCAGGATTTATATGTCAGAAGGTGTCTGTTAGGTCGAGAACTTTGATTTTCAGTAAGCTCACAGGTGATGGTGTTACCGCCATGTCAGGGATTTAAATTTGGGAATTGACGAATTAGAGGAACATTTAATGGTACTACACCAAGGTCTCAGCAGCGAGACATATTCACTGTTCAATTTAAAACTCAGTCCCCAAAGCTCAGAGAGGTGAATCAGCTCCCCCAGGATTAAAGACTGGATCACGCGCTGCAGACCTCTGAGGACGTGACTGTCTCAGGTGACCACAGAAATAGGGGTGCGTCGCCTTTAAGAGGAACTTTCGCACTACAGTAGGACCCACGTCCCGCCCCATCTCACTCCTCCTCGCGGCCACCGCCCCGGACGCCTAGGCGGTTGCCTGGAGGAACCGGAAAGCTGCCCACTCTGGTTGGATGCCGGGCACCGACTGCATTACCCAGAAGTCTGTGCCCTCCGCATCGGCGTCATGCCAGTGACAGCCCGGAAGATGGGCGTGTCCCGCCTCCCGGAGCGGCCGAGGCGGGACTTCCGGCGTCGCCAGAGTGACGTCTTTTGCTTGTGCCTGGACTCTCCGCTCCGGCCATAGACGCTCCGAGTCTGGGGCGGGGTCAGCCTCGCGCAGGGCTCTCGGAACCGAGCCGGGAAGGACCGTACCGCACACGCCTTTGTTACTCTCCATGAGCCCCGTCGTGGGGCCGGCGGCCTTGCGCGGAGGTGTCGTCCGGGGCCGCGTCCTTCCCGGGGCCTTCGCGGGCGCGCTCTGGCCGCGGCGCCCGGAGCTGTGCGCGTTTGCGCCCGGCGGTCACGGGCTTGGAGCGCGGCAGTCAGCCCGCGGGCGCCGTGCCTGGTGGCGCTTTGGGGTTCCGGCTGAGCCCGCGGGGCCTGCCCGCTTTGCCCGCTTCTCCCCACTCGGTTCTGCTCACGGGATCCCATGGAGGCTGCGGCGCAGACGGACGGGGCTCAGGTGAGCGGAGGGGCGACGTGTTCTAGGACCTTCCTCACTTTGCCTTCATCGCTTGCTCCTCTGAGTGCAGAGCCGGCGGAGGGCGTTCAGTCCCCGCGGATATGTGCCGAGGTTCCGGGTATCAGCATCGATGGGATGAGGTGTGCAAGGGTTTCCAAGGCGCTGGTCCAAATCTTTGGAGGTGGGGATGAGTTCGGAGCGTTCAGGAACCGTAGGTCGCTCTGAATCGGGTCAGAGCAGACAGCAGGTGGTCAGGGGTCGGGCCTGGATTGGCAGCCTGAGGAGCTGGGCCTCTGTGCCAAGGGTGGTGACAGACTTATCAGACTTGGAGCAGAGGAGAGAGCTGACCCTACCCAGATCTTACCGGGCTCCCTCTGGCTGCTCTGGCTGAGGACGGAGCGTGGGCATGAGTGAGGAGCCCGCCACAGTAGCCTGTGAGTGTTGGTGGTAGCTGGCCCAGAGAGGTGGCTGGAGAAGTGCGAGATGGTGGTGGGTTTTGTATCTGAGCATTTTGGTTTAGATCATTGTTTTTGAGAGAGAGAGATCGAGGGCACAAGCAGGGGAGGGGCAGAGAGAAGGAGGGAGAGAATCCCAAGCAGGAGCTGGCTCCTTGGTCTTAGTACAGAGCTCGATCTCACAGACCATGAGATCGTGACCCGAGCCCAAATCAAGAGTCTGTCACTTAACTGTCTGAGCCACCCAGGCACCTGTTATATCTGAGGTTTAGCCAGAGTGACCAGATTTTCTGGTGTGAAGGGTGAATAAGAGAAAGGGACGAATTGTGGATTACTCTAGGGGTTTTGTTTTTGTTTTGCTTTACCCGGTAGAATGGTGGAGATGCCATCGACTGAGATAGGGAAGCTGATAGCAGGGGTCATTTTCTGTGGTTATATTGGGAGTTAGACTCTTGCATGTTTAGCTTAAGAAGTCCCTGCGACTCCGTAGTTGAGACATCAAGCTGGATGGGGGTATTTAGTTCTGGGGAAGGTACTGGTTGAAGAAGGTCAAAACGTGGTGCCCAGTATGTTGGATGTGGTGGAACTATGGGTTAAACTTAGGGAGTATCTTCAGGTCATGGCGGCATTGCAGTTAATAATGAGAAAAGTTGAAACTTGGGACTGAGGACTGGGCCTCTTGCTTAGGCACGGGGTGACAGTGTGCCTGTCACAAAGAAACACGAGCACCTCCTGGACACCGTGTGCAGAGTGGCATGGGGTGGGGGTGGGGGTTGCCCTGTAGGTGCATATGGTGTGGTCCAGAAGGTTGTTAGTGGGAGTGGCAGCCCCAGATGGGAGGAAGGGGGGTTCAGAGAGTGATGTATGTGTGAGGAGAAGTGTGACGTGACGGCGTTAAGGTTTTGTCTGCGAGGCAGGGTCGGGAGGACGCTGGGAGAACTGGCCAGCAGGAGTGTTTGGCGCCCTTCGTGCCCGCCCCGTAGCTTACCCAGCACCCACCTGCCTGCCTGGTTCTGCTCTGCACACAGTGCTCAGAGGGACGTGAGGAGAGGAGGCACTAGTGGTGCCAAGGCCCGGTATCTCCCCTGAGTTGGGAGCTGGGAGGAGGGGGAGCGGGGGTGGTCGTGTGAGTGGATAGACTGGGGAGTCCTCTTGCCTGTGGGCTCACCTGTCCCCCATCACGACAGGGCTGTGTGACCTTCGAGGATGTGTTCGTGTACTTCTCCCGGGAGGAGTGGGAGCTCCTTGAGGAGGCTCAGAGGCTCCTGTACCGTGATGTGATGCTGGAGAACTTTGCGCTTGTGGCCTCACTGGGTAAGTCCCTGTTTTATCTACTGGTGTATAATTTAGCGTCTTAAAACAGTAAAAGTTCACTATTACAGTTTCGGTGCATCAGGAATCTGGTCACAGCTTTCCTGGGTGCTTTTTGCTTAGGCTCTCTCGTGAGGTTTCAGTCAAGCAGTCAGCCAGGGCTGTGTTCTCATCAGAAAGCCAGTCTCCAGAAGAATCCACTTACAGGCTCACCCATGGATTGTTCGCAACAGTTAGTTTCCTGCGGCTTATTGAACTGTGAGCATTCGTTCCTCTTGGGCTCCTGACCTGTGGCCTCTCTCAGTTCTTTGTTCTCTTGGCCTTTCTGTACACTGTGCCTCGTAGCATGGAAGTGAGAGAGTGAGAAGGAATGCCCAGGGTGGATTCCAGCCTTTTTCTGACCTGACCTTGGAAGTGATATCCATTATTCTGTCCCTTAGAAATGGGTCTGTCAGTGCAGCCCACAGTCCAAGGAAGAGGCTTACACAGGGGCAGGAATACCGGGAGGTAGGATTCCCAGGACGATCTCAGGGGCTGCCTTCCATGGGCCCTCACGTCCGCTCCAGTGTCCCTGGGTTTGGTTCCCCTGTTTCCTAGAGGCATCTCTTTCCGTCCAGCCAGCTCAGAGACTCCCTGCCCTCTTTGGGTCCCAGAGTAGGTGCTGTGGTGCCAGGGCCGGGCCCTGTGCCATGCGTGTCCCCTCCCTTGCTGAACACTTCCAACACTTTCTGCTCAAAGTCTTACAGGAACAGGTTAGGGGTTCAGGACCCTTTCAGTCTGCTCAACAGATTCAACGTGGCTTGCACACCCCCTGGCCAGGTACCTGTCGAGATCCATGGTACCCTGGTGTCACAGGCTCTGCCCTCGCCCTCTTGCTGACATTTCCTGGGAGCTGAGGATGCCAGGAATTACAGGCACTGACACGGTCACCGCTCATGAACGTCTCAGGGCTGTTCTGCCAAATCCTTCAAGCTTCCATTTTTAACATTTCATTTTCTTCTTTTTTTTTTTTTGAGTTTATTTTTATTTATTTTTTGAGAGAGAGATAGAGAGCAAGCAGGGGAGGGGCAGAGAGAGGGGGGGAGACAGAATCCCAAGCAGGCTCCGCACTGTCAGCACAGAGCCCGATGCAGGACTCAGACTCACAAACCACGAGATCATGACTTGGGCTGAATTCAAGAGTCAGATGCTCCACTGACTGAGCCGCCCAGGTGCCCCTAACATTCATTTCCTCCTTTGTGAGGTGGCTCCACTTGAGCCACTCAAGTGCCCTGTGTCTCCTTTACAACTTCATCTTCCAGTAGTTGCCCATTGCGAGAGGGGCAGAAAGCCCTGGTGTCTGACGGGGTCGACCTGACTCCAGCCACAGTGAGCGAGGCCCAGAGAGGGCCCGGCCGTGTGGAGTCGAGGCCGGAAGAGAGCCATGTTAGTCCTGGGTTCAGATCAGACTGGCAGCCTACATCGTGTTCACCAGCGTTTCCCTGCCGGGGCCTGTCGCGCCGCCTCCTTTCTGCCTTTCCTTCCCCGGTCCTGGCACTTTGTCCACTTGTCGCTTCTCTTCTGTCTTCCATCCCCTGGCTGTTTCCCCCCTTCTCTGGCTTCCGGGTCTCGCTCCTTCTGGTCCGTCCCCTCTGCCATGCTGTGCAACGCTGGCTGTTTAGTGCGCAGTGAGTTGTGCACATCTCCTTAAACGGTCCTTAAGAACCAGCTACGCACCCGCGGTCCGGTTTGTGTGGGCGCGGACCCCGCCTTCCGCGCAGAGCTCACCCGGCACCGGCCGCCACGGCCCTGCTCCGGGAGGAGCGCGCTGGAGACCGCTTCTCTGTCCCTCTGCCGTGCCTGCCCACGCTCTCTCTCTCCTGTGACCTCGAGGCCCGGGACCGGCACTGGGCCTGGCTCCCTCGTGCTGCGGTGTGTCACGTGCACGGGTATGACGGGGCCGCTGCCGTCCCCCAGCGTCCGTGTACCTTACAGCAGCCTTTTGCTTCCAGGTTGTTGGCGTGAAGCAGACAACGAGGAGGCTCCTGAACAGAGCGTTTCTGCCGGCGTCTCGCAGCTAAGGACTCCCGAGCCAGGTCCATTTATCCAGAAAGCCCACCCGTGTGACGTGTGCGACCCGCTCTTAAAAGACATTTTGCACTTGGCAGAACGCCAGAGATCACACCCGTTGCAGAAACCGTACACACATGGCCCATATGGGAGAGGATTCCTACTCAGTACCGACTTTTCCCAGCACCAGAAGCGATGTGGCAGAGAGGATCTCTTCATAGGGGATGCCGAGGGGGCCTCACACGTGAGGAGCTGTGCCGTCCCCGTGTCGGGGAGATCCTTTACGTGCAGGGACGAGGCGATGGACTTGCTGGACAGCCCTGGCCTCTTCCAGGGCGAGACCACCGGCAGCGGGAGGAGTCCGTACAAAAGGACTGAGTTCATGGGCTCGTTCCCACCCAGCTCCAGTCTCGGCCAGCAGCGGGGGGACCATGACGGACTGGTCCTTTTCACCGATGGTGAGGAAGCCTTCCTGAACACCTTCACTCTCCTCGGCAACCAGATAAGTCAGACTGAATTAAGAGCCTTTAGATGCCCCCCATGTGGAAATATGTCCAAGGAGAAAGCCGCTCTTCTCAATCCCAGAAAAATTCACAGTGGAGAAGCATCACATGTGTGTAAAGAGTGTGGAAAGGCCTTCATTCACCTGTCTCACCTAAAAATGCATCAGAAATTTCATGCCGGAAGAAGACATTACACGTGCAGCGAGTGCGGGAAGGCCTTCAGCCGCAAAGACACGCTTGTCCAGCACCAGAGAGTCCACACCGGAGAAAGGTCTTATGACTGCAGTGAGTGTGGAAAGGCCTACAGCAGAAGTTCCCACCTTGTCCAGCACCAGAGAATTCACACCGGAGAAAGGCCTTATAAGTGCAGTGAGTGTGGCAAAGCCTTCAGCCGTAAGGACACGCTTGTGCAGCACCAGAGATTTCATACTGGAGAAAGGCCGTACGAGTGCAGCGAGTGTGGGAAATTCTTTAGCCAAAGCTCCCACCTCATCGAGCACTGGAGAATTCACACTGGGGCAAGGCCTTATGAATGCATTGAATGTGGAAAGTTTTTTAGCCATAACTCGAGCCTCATTAAGCATCGGAGAGTCCACACGGGAGCGAGGTCTTATGTGTGCAGCAAATGTGGGAAGGCTTTCAGCTGCAAGGACACACTGGTTCAGCACCAGATCATTCACACTGGAGCCAGGCCTTACGAGTGCCGCGAGTGTGGGAAGGCCTTTAGCCGTAAAGACACGCTTGTGCAGCACCAGAAAATCCACACTGGAGAAAGGCCGTATGAGTGTGGTGAATGTGGAAAATTTTTTAGCCATAGCTCCAACCTCATTGTGCACCAGAGAATCCACACTGGAGCGAAGCCCTATGAGTGCACAGAATGTGGAAAATGCTTTAGCCACAATTCCAGCCTCATTCTACACCAGAGAGTTCACACCGGAGCAAGGCCTTATGTGTGCAGTGAATGTGGGAAAGCCTACATCAGCAGCTCCCACCTTGTTCAGCACAAGAAAGTTCACACTGGAGCCAGACCTTACGAATGCAGTGAATGTGGGAAATTCTTTAGCCGAAACTCTAGCCTCATTCTGCACCAGAGGGTTCACACTGGAGAAAAGCCTTACGTGTGCAGCGAATGTGGGAAAGCCTACAGCAGGAGCTCCCATCTTGTCCGGCACCAGAGAGTTCACATTGGAGGAAAGCCTCGCCCTCACGAATGCAACAGTTTCAGTAACCCTTTAGCTACATCTCTGAAACTTGTTTAGCACGAGAAAGTTCACACCAGAGAAAGGCCTTACGAATGCAGAAAATGTGCTGTCTCCTCGTTCGACCTAATAGGACTCACACCAGAGAAAACCTCTGTGAGTACCCTTTGTGAGGGAACCATCAGCCGTCATTCATACACGTATCATGAGGACATTCCCAATAAGTCCCACATAGTTGGGAAGCTTTCATGAGGTATACTGCACTTTCCAGACTACATTCATGAGGTATACTGCACTTTCCAGACTACACAGGGCTCCTGACCGAGTTCTGTCACTGCCAGTGCCTGTGGCGGAAGCCATCTCTTTGCTACCAGCTGTCAAGGTCCCACAGCGAGTGTCAGTCACTCCGATATGCTCAGGGAAGGCAGACCCCCGTGCTATCTCTCCTGTTCCCTGGAAGGAATCACGAGTGTTCGGAGCCCAGTGAGGCCTTCGCTTCCTCCCCCATGACTGGATTGTGAGTGGACATGATCCAGGTCTGGCCAAAAGGATTTGAACTGGAGTCTGCTGAGGATTTCCAGACAGGATTTCTCGTCATGAGCGATGTTGACTGTAAACATAATAACCGTGGCTCATTCGTCTTGCTTCCACATCATCCAACTTTAGAACTGGTTGCCCTATGCTGCTCTGATCTGTGCAGTGATACTTTGTGTGTGTGTGTGTGTTGGGGGGAGGAGGGTCTATTCACTGTGTGGAATGGATTGAGAAAAATTTGGGTTCTTCAACATGAAGGGAGGAACACCTTTTGTCTACACCAACTTTATGTGCCTCAGAAGGGTCAGCAGATGGCAGAGAACAAATCTCAGTCTTGTTGGTCTAATTTCCATTGTTGCCCAAGGCTTTGCTAGAAAAGAGTGAAGAGCTTTGGGTGCCTCATCCTGTGGCCTGGAAGCAAGTTTCCTTTGAGCCCAGAGTTCATTTTGAGGAGGCCTAATTGGTGTGAAAATCCCCAGGGCTTCTGGAAACAACATGAATTGGGTCTCTTGTTCCGAGGGAAATTCCCATATTCCCCAGCACTTTTCAGGGATTTCTGGCTCCTGGATCAGCCAGTCACTGGTGTCCCTGATATCCAGAATCTCACAGGGCAAGGTGGGATCATAACAGGTGCAGAAACACTGAGGTAATGGAGTGGGGATGAACGTGGCAAATGAGAGGATATGTATGTCTTCTCCAGGAGGCATCTACAAATGTCCATGTGATTGTTGAGGGATGAGAGTGTATAGAACTCAGGACCTTCAAGCAGTTGTATCTCCTGTGGCCAATGTCAATGTCTCAAGCTTTGTGGATTCCTGTACCTCTCTGGGCTGATGATGTGGCCGTCAGTACCTGGGCAGGAACCTCAGCACTGACAAAGGAGAGCTCCGAGGATAGGGCTTCTCTGACCCCGCTAGCATTCCTGGGGACTGAAGTGGACATGGATTTCATTGCTCCCCAGTTTTTGCTGACTTGAGGCAGGGTTCATCCTCCTAAACTGTGGGGAGAGGGATATGGTAGAACCAAAATAGTTGGCAGGTGTGACTTTCCAAGAGGTAAATAGGGACTTTATGGGGAACGTTTAATTCTCAAAACTTTGTTGAAGTATGACCGACATGAAATAAACTGCACATATTAAAGTATGAAATGTGTTTCAGCATGTGTATATACCGGGGAAGCCATCACCACAGTCAAGGTAACGAACTTATACTCACACAACCGAAAGATCTCTCATACCGCTTTATAATCCTTTTAATACCCTTCTCCACAATTCAGAGGCAACAGCAAGCATTTTCTAGAATTTTATATAGACAGAATCCTATGGTATATACTTCCTGGGGAAGGGGGACTCTAGCCTTTGTCACTATCCACAACTATTTTGAGATGACTCCATCTCATTGCATGTATCAATACGTTGTTCATTTGTATTGAGTATTATTCCACTGTATGCATATACCACAGTTGGTTTTTATCCATTCAACTATTAGTGGATGTTTGGATTGTTTCCAGTTTGGGGCTGTTACAAATAAAGCTGCACTGAGCTGAAGACGTGCACAAGTTATCACTTGGTAACATTTCACTATATAGATATAGCACAGTATATCTGCTCACCTACTGAAGGACTTCCTGGTTGCTTCCAAGTTTGACAATTATGAAGAAACCAGCATACATTTGTGTGTAGGTTTTGGGTGGATGTCAGTTTTCAGTTCTTGGGCTCAAGCCAAGGAGTGTGATCTGCTGGATCATACAGGAAGGGTATGTTTAGATTTGTAAGAAATAGTCTTCCAAAGTGGCTCTACCATTTTGCATTCCCACCAGCAATGAATGAGAGTCTGTTGCTCCACATCCTCATCAGCATTTGGTGGTGTCAGTGTTTTGGAATTCAGCCATTCTAATAGGTGTATCGTTGTTGCTATAATTTGAAATTCCCTAAAGATATATAAATATAATTTTCACATTCGTTTTACACTGTCTTTTGCAGAGCAGAATTTTAATTTTAATCAAGTCTAGATCACTCACTTTTTCTTCCAAGGATTGTATTTTTAGTATATAAAAAGGCATTGCCAAATCCAAGGTTCAGTCTCCAATGTTATCATATAGGTGTTCTGTGGTTTTGTGTTTCGCATTTAGGTCTGTCAACCGTTTTGAGAAAATATTTGTGCAAGTATAAATTCTGTATCTAGATCATTTTTTTTTTAATGATTATTTATTTCTAGGAGAGAGAGAGAGAGACAGCGTGAGCAGGGAAGGGTCAGAGAGAGGGAGTGACAGACTCCTAAACAGGCTCCAGGCTCTGAGCTGGCAGTCAGCACAGAGCCCGACGCGGGGCTCAAACCCACGAACCGCAAGATCATGACCTAAGCGAAAGTCGGACGCTTAACCGACTAAGCCACCCAGGCGCCCCTAGATCATTTTTTTAAACATGAGGGTGTCTAGGGGCGCCTGGGTGGCTCAGTCGGTTAAGCGTCTGACTTCAGCTCAGGTCATGATTTTGTGGTTCGTGGGTTCGAGACCCTCCACCGGGCTCTGTGCTGACAGCTCAGAGCCTGGAGCCTGCTCAGATTCTGTGTCTCCCTCTCTCTCTGCCCGTCTGCTGCTCATGCTCTCAAAAATAAATACATATTTAAAAAAAAAACAAACATGAAAATGTAGTTCCAGCACTGTTTGGTGAAAAGACTATCCTTTCTCTACTGAATTGCCTTTGTTCCTCTTTCAACAATCAATTGACTGTGTTTCTGCTGATCTATTTTAGACTCTGTTCCAATTTTTTTCCTGTCTATTAAGATAATTGTCTGGGCATTGGGTGAGTTCTTTGGGGAGAGGGATCTTGTTCATTTGGTATAATCCATTAATTGATATTCAGATGTCAAACTAACCTTGCATTTCCTGGACAAATCCCACCTGGCCATGATATATGATCTTTTGTATATGTTGCCATGTCACTTTTCTGATACTTCGTTAATGTATTTTGCATCTATGTTGATGAGAGTTAAGGTTTGGAGATTTCTTGTGATAGCTCAGTGTGACTTTGCTATCAGATGAATCCTGACCTCATAGAAAAAGTTGGAAGCATTTTCTCTTTTATTTTATGGAAGAGTGTTAGAGTTTGAAAGATTTGTAATATTTCCTTAATATTTGCTAGAATTAATAGTTGGGGAGAGGGAGGGAGGCAAACCATGAGAGACTCTTGAATACTGAGAACAAACTGAGGGCTGTTAGCGGTGGGGGAGAGGGGAAGGGGGGTGATGGGCATGGAGGAGGGCACTTGTTGGGATGAGCACTGGGTGTTATATGGAAACCAACTTGACAGTAAACTATGAAAGAAAAAAAAATATTTGCTAGAATTACTTAGTGAAGGCACATGAGCCTGGGATTTTTCTCTTGGGAAGACTCTCAATCAATTTTCAATCACAATTTACTTAGTATAGTCCTATATAGGTTTTCTACTTGTGTTAGTTTGGGATAATTGGTGTCCTTTTAGGAATTTTTCCATTTCAACTTAATTGTCATAATTTGGGAGGATAATGATTTTTATAATATTCCCTTAGGATACTTTTAATGTCTGTAGGGTCAGTAGTGTCTTCATTCCCACTGTAGCTAATTTTTTTCTTTGCCTATCTAAAGTTTTGTCAATTTCATTGATCTTTTGAACCAATTTTTGTTTCATTGTTTTTTTTTTAATGGAAGAATAATTGACATACAGTATCACATTAGTTTCAGGTGTACAGTATACTTATTCAGTATTCATATACATTACAAAATGGTCACCACAGTCTAGTTACCATATGTCATTATACAGTGTTAAAATATTACTGACTATTCCCTATGTTCTAGACTGCATCCCTGGGTCTTACTTATTTTATAGCAGGAAGATTGAATTTCTTAATTCTCTTGCCTGTTTATCCTCATTGCCCTTCTCTCTGGCAGCCATCAATTTGTTTTCTGTATCTATGAGTCTGTTTCTGTTTTGTTCCTTTGTTTTGATTTTTAGATTCCAAATGTAAGTGAAATCATATGGTAGTTTTCTTTGTGTGACTTATGTCACTTAGCATAATATTTTCTAGGTTTATCCATGTCACAGATGGCAAGATTTCATTATTTTCTATGGCTGAATAAGAATTGTGTTTCTCTCTATATAGACAGGTGGATAGATAGCTATGGATCATTATATAGAGAGACCATTACATAGGATGTTTATATAGATAAATAGTGAGAGAGAGAGAGAGAGAGAGATGTATATCTCCACACACGTACCACATCTTTGTCCCTTCATCTGTCAGCAGACAATTAGTTTGCCTCCATATCTTAGCTATTGTAAACAGTGTTGCCATGAACATAGGGGATCACATGTCTTTTTGAATTAATGCTTTCAGTTTCTTCAGATAAATACCTAGAAGTAGAATTCCCAAACCATATAATATTTCTATTTATGATTTTTTAAAAGGAAGTTTCATACAGTTTTCCATAGTGGCTGGTACCAATTTACATTCCCAATAGTGCACAAGTGCCAATAATTATTTCTTGTCTTTTTGACAATAACTATTCTGAGAGGTGTGAGTTTATCTCATTGTGGTCTTGATTTGCATTTCCCTGGTGGTCATTGATGTTGAACATCTTTTATATGCCTGTTATCCATCTGTAAGTCATCTTAAAATGTCTTCTGGTCTTCTGCCCATTTTTAAATCAGATTTTTTAACAGTGAATTTTATGAGTTCTTCATATATTTTAGATATTAACTCATTATTGGATATATAATTTGTAAATATCTTCTCCCACTCAGTAGGTGACTTTTTTGCTGATGGTTTCCTTTGCTGTGCAAAAGCTTTTTAGTTTGGTGTCTTATTTATATTTGCTTTTATTGTCCTTACTTGAGACATTGAAAAACATATCGCTAAGACCAGTGTTAACAATCTTACTGCCTATGTTTTCTTCTAGGAATTTTATAGTTTCAGGTCATATATTTAAGTCGTTAGCCAGTTTTGAGTTTAGTTTTATATATAGTATAATAAAAGTGTTCCAATTTTATTCTTTTTCATGTAGCTGTACAGTTTTCCCATTTATTAATAATAATAAATGTTCACCATTTATTAAATAGGCTGTCTTTTCTTCATTCTATATTCTTGTCTTTGTCATAAATTAATTGACCATGTAAGTGTGTGTTTATTTCTGTGGTCTCTATTCTGTTTCAGTGATCTATGTATCTGTTGATGTGCCAGTACCATATTATTTTGACTACTTTAGCTTTATTTTATTTATTTATTTATTTATTTATTTATTTATTTATTTCTGAAAGAAAGAGAAATAAAAAATGAGCAGGGGAGGGGCAGAGAGACAGGGAGACACAGAATCTAAAGTAGGCTCCAGGCTTTGAGCTGTCAGCACAGAGCCTGACATGGGGCTCGAACCCACAAACTGAGATCACGGCCTGGGCCGAAGTCGGACACTTGACCAACTGAGCCACCCAGGTACCCCTGACTACTTTCACTTTATAGTATAGCTTGAAATTTGGGAGCATCGTATCTCCAGCTTAGTTCTTTCCCAAAATTGCTTTGGCTATTTGGGGTCCTATATGGTTCCATGCAAATTTTAGGATTATTTGTTCTGTGAAAACTACAGTGGTATTTTGATAGGGATTGCATTGAATCTGTAGATTGCTTTGAGTAGTATGGACATTTTAACAATGTTAATTCTTCTAATCCATGAACATGAATTATCTTTCCATTTATTTCTGTTGTCTTTAATTTCTGTCATCGGTGTCTTGATAGTTTTTATAGTATAGGCTGTTCATCTCCTTGGTTAAATTTATTATTTTATTCTTTTTGATGCAATTGTAAATGGGATTGTTTTCTTAACTTTCTGCTAGTTTGTTATTAGTGTATACAAATGGACCAGATTTTTGTATATGGATTATGTATCCTACAAGTTTACTGATTTCATTTATTCTACTAGTTTTTGGGTGGATGTTTTAAGATTTTCTTTTTTTTTCTTTTTTTTAATGTTTTTTTATTTATTTCTAGGAGATAGAGAGAGACAGCATGAGCAGGGGAGGGTCAGAGAGAGAGGGAGTCACAGACTGAAACAGGCTCCAGGCTCTGAGCTGGCAGTCAGCACAGAGCCCGACGCGGGGCTGGAACCCACGAACCGCGAGATCATGACCTAAGCGAAAGTCGGACGCTTAACCGACTAAGCCACCCAGGCGCCCCCGTTTTAAGATTTTCTATATCCAGTACTTTCTTTCCAATTTGCATGCCTCATTTCTTTTTCTTGTCCAATTGCTGTGGCTGGGACTTCCAGTATGAACTGACTGAAAGTGGCAAGAGTGGGCATCCTTGTCTTGTGCCTGATATTAGAGAAAAAGCTTTCAACTTTTCACTGTTAAGTATGATTTTAGCTGTGGGTTTGTCATCTATGGCTTTTTTTATATTGAGGTACATTTCCTCTACATTCACTTAGTTGAGAGTTTTTGTCATAAATGGATGTTGAATTTTTTCAAAAGCCTTTTCTGCCCCTACTGAGAATGATCATAGGATTCCTATCCCTTATTTTGTTAATGTGGTGTATCATGTTGATTGATTTGCTGATATTGGACCCTCCTTGCACCCCTGGAATAAATCCCTCTTGATAATAGTCTATGATCCTTTTAAGTTATTGTTGAATTTAATTTGTTAATATTTTGTTGAGGACTTTGCATGTATCATCATCAGGGATATCGGCCTATAATTGTCTTTTTTGTAGTATTTTTGTCTGGTTTAGTTATCAAGGTTTTGTGCGTCTGTGTGTGTTCCTATTTTCTAATTTCAGTGAATTTTGTTCTAATCTTTATTATTTTATTTTTTATCCTTGGCTTGGGGTTAGTTTGGTCTTATTTTCTTGTTTGTTTGTTTTAACATAGAAGCTTAGGTTATTGACATCTTCTTTTATAATAAGCTGTTTAAAGTTATACACTTACCTCTAATCATTTACTTTAGCTGTGTCATATTGATTTATATATGTAGCGTTTTTACCTTTATCTAGCTCAAAATATTTATGTTTTTAAAGAATCCCTTGTAATTTCTCTATTTACTCATAGGACATTTGATAATATGTGGTTTAAGAAGTCCCTGTTACATTTGCAGGGCTAATATCACAGAGCAGGAGGAATGCTTTTAATTTTTCAGTCGAGAGTCCAAGTGTTATAATTAAGGTTTGAAATGGGGGGTAAATCTATTGGGTATTTTAAATATCTTACATTCTAAAGAAGAGACTGAGCAAAGCTGTCAGTGTTTAATGTAGAAAGAGCAATCCCCATATCAGGAATCGGTGAGGATGACCATCGGTAGTTAATTCACCTTGAGTGCGTAAGGCAGGCTATTAGCCACATTTTCTTCCTCAGAGCATCCTCATTGATCTGAATTGAGGGTATTTTCTTTATCTTGGATTTGGTTTCATAAGATAGGACAACTTTTTTTCCGGTGTTCTGGGAAGAGTCTACAAGTGACTTTGTCGATACAATGTTGATTGGGAAGTGGGCCATCAGCTGTTTGTCCTGTCTTGTTTTTATTCTAAAGCCCTTGCAAAATGTACTGCCCTGTGTTGTAGTTCAGCTGAAGGGACTCTTTAATATTCTAATTTCTGTCTTCAGATCAGGTCTCTAACTTCAAGTTTAATGCCATTGGTGAAATTCTATCGTTTTACATTAGTTGTTATGTCAGCACCACTGTAACTCCCAATGTAAGAAGGTATTTCTCTAGTCTGTATTGAAAATCTATAGCTTCATCTTTTTAAAATAATTTTGGCTCATTGGCTAAACTACTGTGTCATCGATTTTTGTTATAAATACTTCAGGTATGAGTTTTAGGAGACTCGGACTTACTTTTATGGCAATTTCATGACCTTTGGAAAGAGGACTCCTGTTGGTCCTTTGCCAATCAACTTCTGCCATTCATGATTGGGCACCTGAAGTGCCAACCAACATGCTTACAAAGTCATGTAAGTTAGGTGACCTTGGTTTGTAAGCACTGTAAAGAATTCTAAGCTCTTTTATGAATACCTGGTGGTCTTATTTGGGTCGAAGGGAATCTTCAGTTTTACCTCTTAATTCAGCTCAAGTCCAAGGCTTAAATTTTATAGTTTCCTGCATGCCCGACTCACGGGAGGGGTGGATGCGTAGCAGTATCCACCAAACTGGCATTTGGGGTTTTAAGGGAGTTCTTGGGAAAATGGGGCCCTGAACAAAGGGGACAGGAGGGGGAAGACGTGCCAAAGGGGAGAGACCAGGAGGATGGGGGGCGGGGAAGCAGCTGGATGACAAGGAGGGAGGGATTACCGACGGAATGGTCGCCTTTGTTACTGCTGAAGTTGGTCAAATTGCTCATTAGTTTTGCCCAGAGAATCTTTTAGTGATGCACCTTTTGACTCAGATTTTAGTTGGAATATTCTGAATCCTCATAAAAACAATACGGTCCATTGGGCCTGAGATGCCTTCTTTCCTTAACACATCGAATATCCCCTCAGAGTGACCACTGAAGGCCCAGATTCCCCATGGTGTAGTTACAATATTTAGAAAGATAGGCTCAAGAATTAGGATTTGAACAGCAGTGCATATAAAAGGCAGGAGTTTTTCATGGGAGAGGAGAGGATTTAGACCTAGACCACCCTATGAGAGCAGACAATGGTTGGTAGGAATATAATGCTTGCGGACCTATAACCCTCAACCTAATGATTGGCTGCCCTTTTTTTTTTTTTTTATGTTTTTATTTATTTCTCAGAGAGAGACACACACACAGCATGAGCAGGGGAGGGTCAGAGACAGAGGGAGATACAGAATCCGAAGCAGGCTCTAGGCTCTGAGCTAGCTGTCAGCACAGAGCCCAGCGTGGGGCTCGAACCCACAAACCATGAGATCATGACCCGAGCCAAAGTCAGACGCTTAACCAACTGAGTCACCCAGGCGCCCCAATGATTGGCTGCTTTGAATCACACACGCATAATCTGTGCCCCTGGTATGTGGATAACCTGAGAGAATTCTCTCTAGATTATAGTCCAGCTCTCAATACAAAAAAAAGAAAGAAAAAGAAAAAGAAAGTGGAAGGAAACCTCACTTGTTTCATTGATGACCTGCGGCAAAGTTCATCCAGAGAGTTGCCAGTTCAGTGGGATCTGCAAACACACTGGTCCGTGAGGCTGGCTTGAACCGCTGGCTTATCAACAATATGGTGATGCCTGTGTTCTACCCTATGACTCAACTTCTTAGGACAACAAACTTTTAGCACAGAAAAAAAAATTACTCAAAAGACACCACAAAGGCATGAAGAGGAGTGGCCTGACCCACTGGGGGCCCCAAACAACTAAGAACCAACAACACAACCCAGGTGCCAAACAGAATGAAAAGCCAAGAAACTCAACACGAAGAGAGCAGATTTCCCAAATCTTCAAGGATTTGACTTGCCCTTAAGGCACAAGGGACAGATATGTGGGTATGGCCCTGGGTGGGAGGCTGGGACAGGCAATGCAGAGCAGATCTCAGCGGGACTTTCCTGATAAACATCACAGATGACACAACTTTTGCAGTGAGCACATCCGACTTACCTTGTTCCTCTGTCCACTGAAGAATGACTACTGAGACGCAGGCTCTACAGTAGTGTGAGCTGGGGAACTAATCAAGATATACAGTGTGGGAGTTCTTACAGCCTTTCTTAGACTTATGTTCTTAATCTGAATTTCTCTTCAAATTTTTTCACTACTTTGATATTAGTTGAGGAGCTCATGCGCCCCTCCTGCTTAACTGTTAGTAGTGTTGTTTTACATCTGTCTGTTTTCCATATTCAATGATATGGAATTGCATACCACACACAGATCTTGAAGAGGATTCTCACCACGTTTAATACATATCCACTCTTCAGGAAATTCATCACAAAATTTATACTTGCATTTTTGCATTTTTGTATTCAGTATACACCCAAAAATGGGTAATAGCAACTTAGGCAAGAATAGAAAACATTGCCTTTTCAATCTCAAGTCCATGTCAATTTGTTTGTCATTCACAAGTCAAAACTCATAACTAAGTGTATGTTACAAACAGGCTTAACTCTGGAAAGGTTTGCAAACTTGTGAATTAACAATAAATTGAACTTGGTATAAGATACCAAAAAAAGAAAAAAAAAAGATTTTTCCGTGTGCCCACAAGGGAGAACTTCTAGACACCTCAAAGGAAGCCAGAGCTGCTCTCTTCTAGTGTTTGGTAAGTCTGGCATGCAGGAATTGGTGGACTTTCAGAAACAGGCGTGTTGCAGAAGGGATGGGCTCTCCAGGTGTTGCCGTGGTCCCTACTATCGACTGACTTTCCAAAGCAGGGTTACCGAAGTGACGCCCTTGCTGATAGATTGTTACCTGTGGGGGTGGGGGGCTGTCTTTCAGGACTGGGGCCTGAACGGATGGACTGAATCTTGCAAGCTTGGAACGATCAATGATCTGCTGATTTTCAGAAGCTGAGTTGCTGGGGTGAGGCTGCTGTTCACTGGCTGGCTTTCAGTGGCCATCTAAGTTATCTCTAATAAACTTTGGTTTATTGTTCACAACTTTAGAATTTGGCCAAAGGAAACTCTTTTCCTTCTCTGAATATGAAAAATAAGCACTTCAAATCTTAGTCCCCTCTTTGGCTCTTACTCAGCTAAGCCAGCAGGAGAGATCATAAGGCACTTTCCAGAAGGTCACTTATGAGGCTTTGATTTTGAGCTAATGTTGCCACTAAGTAATTTAACTGCCAATTACAGTGCAAAAAATAGCTATAACTGCTGGCTTTCTGTAATGTGTTGTAAAAGAGCTAAACACATAATATGTACTGCGTCCTGACACCATTGATACAGGACAAAGTATATGTGCTGTAATCACAGAGGAGCGGACAATTCTATCCCTTTTGGGTGCCACGCACCTACTGTTGTGCCTGCAACTCTTTACATGCTCACTGAATATTTGCAGATCAGTAAATACACAACAGCCCAACTTCCCTATTCCTTTTTACCTTTTTGGCAACTCTTTTTCAATATTTTCCTCTCCCTACAGGCTGTTAATGCACAATATTTTCAAGTACTAAAAATCGGGGCACCTGGGCAGCTCATTTGATTAAGCATCCGACCTCGGCTCAGGTCATGATCTCATGGTTCGTGACTTCGAGCCCTATCTCAGGTTCAGTGTTGATGGTGTGGAGCCTGCTTGGGGTTCTCCATCTGTCCTTCCTCTCTGCCCCTCTCTCACCCTTGCTTTCTCTCTCATAATAAATAAATAAACTTTTAAAAAATCACATTTTGGAACCAAACCATAAATGTAGCCAAGGTTTCAGCAAGCTCCAGTCTCCGCTTCATTCTCTGACCTCTCAACTCATTGTCTCCTACTCAAACTTAACTGAGATCTCAACTTTCCCCCTACTTGTCACAGCTATGTTTCTCTAGAACGATTTTGCCGCTCTCCTTGAAAGAATACAAAACCATTTTTAATAGCATTCAGTAATATCCATTTCACAAGTGTTTTTCCAGACATAATATCAGCCCCCTATGCATTCACTGCTGCTGCAGTTACAGATGAAATGATAAACACTTCCCGGCAAATTGTCAAGAAGGCGTACACTGCTCAGGCAGAAGCTGGCATATGCTAAGTCTCTTTTCAGACAGATTTCAGATCTTTAAAAAAGGACGTATCTCACAAATACAGTAATAAATACCTGAATTAAAGTACTGGAACACCATCAGTGACTATACAGGCAAGAAAAATGTCTTCTGTGGGAATTAGAGGCACATCGTCACCCTTTCTAACTACTTCAATGTCGTCCTGACACCCTTCCTCCAACTTCCCCATCACAGCCCTGTCTGGAAGCTTTCTTACTGAAACTACTGAAGCCTAGAAAAAGAACTCCAAAGAGTCAATGTACACATCCCTCGCAAGCAACAAGTTAACTGAGAGCTCTGAGGGGACGCCGAGTAACTTTACGGCATGCTGAGTCCCTTCCTCTGTGCAGCCTTTTGGGAAAGTGCGGAGATTCACGGAGTCTGAAACAACAGCCCCCATACACTTCTGACTCGCTCTACTCTGCGCTCCGAGGACAGCTGGGTATCGTCCCTTTAAGAACCAGCAAGCCCCGCCCCCTTTGGAACATAGAACTCCATTTCCCAGAGCTCCTCGGATTCTTTCACGGCTTTTAGTCTGTCGTAGGAAAGACCTACGTTCTGAGTCTGCGCAGTGACTTCGTGGAAACTACATTATCCCGAAGCCCTGGCGGCGGCGGCGGCGGCGGCGGCGGCGGCACGAGCCCCACCGCCCCCGCCAGAGCGACGCTTAGCCTAGGGCCGTTTTCCTGCGCGTGCACCGCGTGGGGGCGGGACTTCCGGCGACGCCTTTATGGTGTCCTGCTATTCTGTAGTCCCCGGGACTGTTCAGTGGCTTGGTGCGTCCGGAGTCCTCATTCCCGACCGACGTGAATGGAAAGCGCGAAAAGAGGCCATGCCCCCGCCGCAGAGGCGGCTGCAGGATGTCCTCGTCTCCGCCCGGTCGCCCGCCGCTCTTCTTACTGGTTGGAGGCGGAGGCCGCGCGCGTGAAGCCCGCGCAGGTGGGTGCTGAGACCCCCGGGCTCTCGGCCGTCCGCCCCTTCCCCCTCCCATCCCCCCGCCCGCTCGGTCCCGGTAGTCAGGCCTCTGGGACGCGAGCGGAGGACGTCCTGGTTCGGGGTCCGGGTCCCGCCCCTTGCGGTGGGGCGGTGGGAGGTCCCGCAGGGGCTCCTGACTGGGGGCCGCGGGGCTGGGAGGCGGGGCGGAGAGTCTCCCGCGGGGGCGGCGGGGGCGGCGGGATCCTCCGCAGCCGGGATCAGGGGCCGGGAGGGCGGGGGTGGGAGTCGCACGCCCTGAGGTAGGAGGTTAGGATAGGGGAGAGCAGGCCCGGGGACGGAGGCGGGGAGCCTGCTGGGAGACCAGTGCAGGGCACCCCGGGCACTCATGGGGGCGGCTGGCCCAGGGCGGCGATGGAGATGCGAGGAGATTCTGCAGAGAGTCGGGCAGCAGAGCCGCGTCTCATGTAGCTGTGAGCGCAAGCGGGGAGCGAAGGACCAAGTCAGGGTTTCTTTGCCTGAACATCTGAAAGAACGGAGATGGGGAAGCGAGCCCAGGGGGCAGGTTCCGGGGAGCTCCCGAGTTCGGTTTTGGACGTGTTGATGCTGAGATATCTGAGGTGGGGGCTTCCCGTGGGCAGGTGGACGTGAAGGTCCGGAGAACCGGGAAGGGGGACTGGGCTGGAGCTGTCCAAGGTGTGGGGGGTGTGCACTGCACCAGGGCCTGGCCTGAGGATCCGACCGAGGAGGGGGCCTTAAGGTCGTTATTACTGGCGGGCTCTGTAGTGAGTGTCAGGAGGGCCGAGACCTGGAGTGTCAGGGGATTCGCCACCCTCGATGTTCCCTCCGTAACGGAGCGCTCCTGACGTAGAAGAGCCTGGGTCTAGACAAGAATGTCAGCATACGGCAAGTTTGCTGGCCTGGGTGGAGACGGAGGTGGAGATTCACGGCCTCGCATGACGGACGATCCCGGGAGACAGTCCCTGTGAGGTAAAGAAGTAGCCAGATTTGTGGAGCAGATGCGTCCCAGACGGCGCACTGCCCTCTGGCCACCCCCACCCTTGAGGCGAGAGGATGGAAGGGGTGCTCCCTCCCCGGCCCTTGCCAGAGCCCCTCAGGGGGTTACTAGCAGCTCAGCTTGTTTGTTGAAAGGAGGAGTAGCTGAGCTTCCTGCTCAGACTCTCCCTGCAACTCACAAAATTTAGAATGTATGAAACATTTATTAAGACATCAGCCAACCAGCATTTAGCTAAGTATGTACACATAGGTAGGCAACTAGAAATGAACGCATTCGATAAATTAAGCAAGGCAACACTATACAAATTGCAAATTTAATTTATCCATGGTATTTGCTAATAATAGAACGTTATATATTACATCTTTTGAAAATCTTAATCAGAAGTAACAAATCCACGTTTTTATGAACCCTATCCTTTTATTTGCAGCGAAAACATAGAGGATTGTTACCCTTTGGATAGTTAGTGTGCATCAATTCTGTTGAATACTGTTAGCTCTGTGAGGTGGGGGCCATTGTTAACCCCATTTTAGAGGAAAGGAGTTGAGGCTGGGAGGTTAAGTCCTGCTGAGCCGCTTCGCTGGTAAGAGTGGCACCGAAGTCGGAGGAGCTGAGAGCTTAGGGCAGCAGGCTGGGGGCGCTTTGCTCCAGGCAAGGTAGGGGGAGTGGGGTCCAGTTCAGCGTGTAGGATCGTGCCGTGGCTGCGCCTTCTTATGGCCTCCGTCTTCCCACAGGTTCCCATGGCGTGTGCAGAACTGCTTTTGGACCCTGTACAGGTGAATGGAGCATGCGACAGACCTTCATCCACCCCAGTTGTCACCCTAAGGGTTTTGCCACTCCCATGTAAAGAGTGATGGTGTCCTGAGATTGTTCCTCCTGTTCTCCCTCCCTTGGGACCAAAGTCCCTGTGGTCTCACCAAAGCCCAGGGCCTCGAACTCAGCCCTGGATTCTATGGAGCGTTGGGCATTTGTGACAACCGATGGGGTAAGATGTGGAGGGGTGTCCCAGGCACAGGACCCAGAATGTTCAAGTGATGGGGGTGAGAGTGAGTCGGAACACTCAGGGAACTGCGAGGCTCTTACCTACAGTGGGAATAGGGGCCGGTGGGGGAGTGCAGGTCCACAGTTACAGCCTGAGGTGCGGGGCTCCCAACCTGACGGAAGTAGGAGAAGGTTCTGAGCGGAGGAGCCAAGTGACCTGCCCCTGAACTTTACAGGCTGCATTCAGCTGCAGTGTGCAGGAGAGCCTGGACGAAGGCGGGCATAGTGGCCCTGGGAGGGGGCCCTTGGACTGTGCAGGTGACCTCTGCTGATGGCTGCACAGGGCTGGTGGCTGTGGAGTAGAGGACCGGCTGCCTCTGGAAGTGTTCTGGATGGAATAGCCCACATTCAGTGATGTGAAAAGCAAGGGCGCCGGGGCACGAGGTGGAAGCGGGTGTCAGGGACAGCCCCAAGGATTCTGGCTTTCTCTGGAAGGATGGATGTTCTGTCCATTGGTGGGGAAGTCAGGTTTTGTCACTGATGCCACACGTTCCAGAGTCTCCCGACTAGAGGTGCCCGCTCGGCAGTCGGACACGCAGGTCTGGAGTTCAGGAGCGGCTTCCAGGTTGCAGACAGCCAGGGACGGTGGCCGGCGTGTGCACTATGGTGTAGCTGCGCATGTTTCCAGAGGGGGCATCGTTAGGCTGAGGAGGCAGGAAGGGGAAGGAGATTTGAACCTCTTCCCGGAGCCTGGATGGTGGTGGAGGACGTCGCAAAGGCAGACGAGGAAGCAGAGTAGCCATGAGGGGCGTGCCCACGTGTGATACAGACGAGGAGTCTGAAAGGCTTCTGAGGGTCAGTGAGGTGCAGTAGGTGTTGAAGCATCTCCACGAAGGAGGTCAGCTGTCAGTGAGCTCGGGGCCAGGGCACATGATCTTTCCTTTATGGTGACTCGGTCAGGCCCGCCAGCTTCGTTCAGGCTGGTAGGTTAGTTGAGGTTAAAATGAAGCAGCCAGGAGCATTGCTGGGCCTGGGGTGCGGAGGTCAGTGTCGCTGGGCTGCGCGTGCGGGTCAGGTAAAGACAGGCTGTGACTGCTTGGACAGCGGGGCAGTGATGACGCAGCAGAGGGCCGGGAGTCCATGAGGTGCTCACATTAGGTCTGGGAGGGGAGAACCACAAAGGGACCCTGGTGCTGGGGAACTTGGGTTTCCGGGGCAGGATGGGGAAATAGGATGCTGATTCCGCTTGCACAGTACTGCCGGGTTCCGCCTGCTCGGGGTGTGTTGGGAAGGCCCAGAATTACCCGCAGAGTGGGCTGCGGTCTCAGTAACCGAGTTGTAGAAGCGGAGGGACCGGATATGGAGAGAGGTTCAGACCAAGAATGATGGGCAGGCGAGGAGGGGTGCTTATGGGAGAGAGAAAAGTTGACGTTGTGTTGGCTGGGAGGCAGGATCGGGGACCTCAGCATAATTTACCGCTGAGAGAGCGCCCCCACTGCGGGCCCAGAGCCTAGGCGGGGCTTTCCTGCACCTTCCCCCGCTTGTTTTACTGAGCTCCCCACACACACATTGATCTGTGGCAGTGAGGAGAGGGGAGGCGCCAGTGCCACCAGACCCTGTATCTCCTCCACACTGGGAGGTGGGGTGCAGGGCAAGGGCAAGGAGGGGGTGGAAGGAGGTGGGGATACGAAAATTCTGGAGAGAGAAGCTGCACATCGATTGACCCTTACCCGTTTTGTCAGGGGCTTGTGGTGTTTACAGACGTGGCCGTGCACTTCTCCCAGGAGGAGTGGGGACTCCTTGATGAGGCCCAGAGACACCTGTACTGCAGCGTGATGCTGGAGACCTTTGCACTTTTGTCGTCACTAGGTAAGGCCCTCGCACCCACTCCCATGTCCGGGGCGCAGCTCCGGCTCTCCCCTTGCCCGGGAGTTAGGAGCTCTGGCTTTCCCCCAGCCACACCACAGCCACTACTTCCCTTCTGGTGTCTTAGCACACGGTTCGGGGGGGTGGGGGTGGCTGTGGCCACTTCTCCAAGTTTGTCGGAGAAATCCTAGTGGCCTTGCTTGTCCTTAGTCAGATAATTCTTTTCAGAAGCACGGAGCCTCTGTGCTCAAGGTCTTCCCGTCCTTGCTGACGTTTCTTTGGGGCACGCCTGTCTCAGAACCTTCAGCCACCAACGTGCTCTCTCTCGGCTCTGTGAGCGCCTCCTCTGAAGTTCTGTTTTAGAATGTGGGATGTCGTGTGTTGGATCAGTCACTTTGGGGGCCCTGCTGTCCACTCTGATTCCCTGCGTTTCATCTAAGGTGGACCCTTCCAGGTCCCATGTAAGTGCTCATCATGAAGAAGTGGAGGGGCCTGGGTACCTGACAGCATGGCCTTACTCCATCAGTGGCAACAGGAAATGGCCCTGGGGCTGCGGAGCTGGGAATGGGTGTGTTGTCACAGCTGGGTTTACCATCGAGTGATGCCAGAGAGCAAGCTCATACCTGATTTCTACATGTTCTTTCCCATCATCATTTCTAACCTTGCACTCTCCGGTTCCCCCACCTTTGTGCCCCACCCCCACCCCCACCATCGTCTTTTCCCTTCTGCACCCTTTGCAGTACACTTGACGTATGACCTACCCTTGAGGTATTGTGATGGCTGCACTTGTCTTTAAATAGTCTCTGAACGGGGCGCCTGGGTGGCTTAGTCGGTTAACCGTCCGACTTTCGCTTAGGTCATGATCTCATGGTTCGTGGGTTCGAGCCCCGCGTCGGGCTCTGTGCTGACTGCCAGCTCAGAGCCTGGAGCCTGTTTCAGTCTGTGACTCCCTCTCTCTCTGACCCTCCCCTGCTCACGCTGTCTCTCTCTCTTTCCTAGAAATAAATAAAACATTAAAAAATAAATAAATAGTCTCTGAACACCAGCTACTGTGTTGCAATTACACATTTCTGGGCGTGGACACAGTCTTCTATTGAGTGCTCACCAGTCACCAGCAGCCATGGACTTGTTGAAAGTCATTTGCAGAGGAGGGAGCTGGGGATCCCACCTCTCTTCCCCGGACTCACTCCTTCTTCATGTCCTTGCCGAGGGTCAGGGCTGTCCGATCGTGGGCGCTGGCCGGGCTGAGCTCTGTACAGCAGGCCCTCTTCTCACCATCCTGAGTCTCCCTGGCCCATGAGCAGTCCCATGGCCTCATCCGTGGGGTGTCTGACACACATTCCCAATGGGGCTCCCTCTTCCCAACAAGGTCAGCGTGCGCTTGCATTTCTCTGCTTACAGGTTGCTGGCACAGAGCCCGGGACAAGGAGGCCCCTTCAGAGCACGGTGTTTCTGTCGCAGCATCACAGGTCAGGACTCCACAGCCAGACCCGTCCATCCAGGAGACCCAGCCCTGTGAGACGTGTAGCTCACTCTTGAAAGACCTCTTGCACTTGGCTGAGCAGGACCGTATACACCCCGGGCAAGGCCTGTATGCTTGTGAGGGAAAGCGTTACCAGCAGCAAAAGCATCAAATTAGAGTGGAACTTTCCAGAAGTGCTGAGGGGAGGCCTTCATTTGTGAAGAACTGCAGAGGTCACATGGCAGAGACGACCTTTACATGCAGTGAAGAGAGGAAGGACTTCCGAGCCAGCTCAGGCCTGCTCCAGCAGCAGGTTCCTCACGTTGGAGGAAGTCCACACTGGGACACAGCAGGTGGAGAGGCCTTTCAGAATGAACAGAATTATTATAAGTGCACTCAATGTGGGAAAACCTTCAGTCATAAACATGTACTTGTTGACCATGAGAAAATCCACACTGGAGAAAAGCTTCATGGGTACAGAGAATGTGGGAAGGCCTTCCTAAGAAAGTCCCACCTCCATCAGCACCAGAAGGGCCACGAGGAAGGTCAGCTTTATGAGAACCCAAAATGTGGAGGCTGTCTTCCACAGATGCCTGCCCTTGGTGACCACAAGGGTGTTCACACGAGGCCGAGGCCTTTTGAGTGCAGCCAGTGCGGGAAGGCTTTCCTTAGACTGTCCCAGCTCGTTGGTCACCAGAAAATCCACACAGGAGAGAGGCCTTATGGTTGCAGTGAATGTGGAAAATTTTTTAGGAATCGCTCTACGCTCATTAGACATCAGAGAGTCCACACTGGAGAGAAGCCATATGAGTGCAGTGAATGTGGGAAAGCCTTCACCCGCAAACATAAGCTTGTTGAGCATCAGAAAATCCACAGTGGTGAAAAGCCTTATGAGTGCGGAGAATGTGGGAAAGCCTTCAGCCGCAAAGACAAAGTTGTTGAACATCAGAAAATTCACACCGGAGAGCGGCCTTACAAGTGCAGTGAATGTGGGAAAGCTTTCAGCCGCAAACATAAACTTGTTGAGCACCAGAAAATCCACACTGGAATAAGGGCTTATGAGTGCAGGGAATGTGGCAAATTCTTTATGGACAGCTCCTCACTTGTTATTCATCAGAGAGTTCACACTGGAGAAAGGCCTTATGAGTGTGGCAAATGTGGGAAGTTCTTTAGGTACCGCTTCACACTCATTAGACACCAGAGAACTCACACTAGAGAAAGGGCTGATTAGTGCAACAATGTAGGAAATCCTTTAGTTGCAACTCCACGGACTCATTAGATGTCAGACAAATCACAGTAAAGAAAGGCCTTATTATTATTAGCTAATGTGGGAAATTTTTGTGTTACAGCTCCAGTCTCATTGGACACCAGAGAGTTTACACTGGTGTGAGTCCTTATGAGAACTGCAAATATGGGGACATCTTTACCTACAGCTCTGGCCTCGTTAAAGACTGGCAAATTTGCAAAGGAGAAATGCATTATGAGTGCAGTGAATGTGGGAGAATCTGTTGATTTGTGTCACTATACACTAATTTGCATTTAATTTTTATTTTCTTGGAATCTTGCAGTATACTTTTACTTGGTTGCTTTTTATTACATTTTTGCATAAAGGGAATCCCAAAGTATATCCTTGTGTGGCTGCTTAGAGATTATCTGTATTGTGTTCATTCTTCTTTATTGCTGAATGGTATTCCATTGGGCGTATGTGCCACTGTGTGTTTATTTATCTATTAATGGACACGTAGGTTGTTTCCAATGTTGAGCTGTTACCAAAAGAACTATGACCATTCATATATAAGTAAATATCTGAGAGTGTAGTGTTGCTCATAGATGAATGTTTAACTTTTTAAAGAATTGGCCAAACTGGCTTCCAGTATGAGTATACTATTTTGTATCCCACCAGCCGAATGTTAAGAATTCCATGTGGAACACATCTTTGCCCATGATAGATCTAGCCAGGCTTTTTATTTTTTTATTTTATTTTTTTTTTAATGTTTTTTATTTATTTCTAGGAGAGAGAGAGAGAGAGAGAGACAGCATGAGCAGGGGAGGGTCAGAGAGAGAGGGAGTCACAGACTGAAACAGGCTCCAGGCTCTGAGCTGGCAGTCAGCACAGAGCCCGACGCGGGGCTTGAACCCACGAACCGCGAGATCATAACCCAAGCGAAAGTCGGACGCTTAACCGACTAAGCCACCCAGGCGCCCCTAGCCAGGCTTTTTAAAGTTAACAAATGAGTGTGTCATAGTCTTATTTTAATCTGGATTTCTGTCACAACTAGTGGTACTGAGTGTCTTTTTTATGTGTTTATTTGCTCTTTTGGGGCAAAGTATCTAAATTTATTAACTTCTTTATTACCTAATTATTTTAATAGTTAATTTTAGACTATTTTGGATTTAGAGAAAAATTGCTAATGTAGTACAGGGAGTTCCCATATTCCCTACACCGAGTTTTCCCTACTCTTAACATGTTACATCAAGGTAGCACATTTCTTGCAATTGATAAATGAATCTTCATACATTATTGATAACAAAACTCATGCTTGATTCAGATTTCTTGAAGTTTTTACCAAGATTCATTTTCTGGTCCAGGATCCCTTCTAGGTTATCACGTTGCACTTAGCCCTAATGTGTCCTTAAGCTCCTTGCAGTTGTGACAGTTATTCTTGTTTTTAGTAACCTTGAGAGTTTTTTTATTGTGATAATATATGTATAACATAAAACTTACTCTTTTAACCATTTTTCAGTGTATACCTTAATGGCCTTAAGTACAATGACAGTATTGTATCACCGCCACCACTGTTTCTAGAACTTGTTCATCATTCCAAGTAGAAACTGCACCCAGTAAATGATTAATTCCCATTTCTCACCCCATCTCCGCCTTTGTAATCTGTATTAGAATCTCTGCCTCTGTGAATTTTCTTATTCTAGGTATGTCACGTAGGTGAAATCCTATAATATTTGTGCTTCCATGTCTGGCTCTTTTAAGCCATTTGCAAGGTTCATTACTGTTGTAATATGTATGAGAGTTTCCTTTTTAAGACTGATAATATTACATTGTATATTTTTGCCACTTTTTGATTTGCCATTCATATGTTGGTAGATAATATGAATTGTTTACACCTTTTGGTATTGCCAGAAATACTGCTGTGAACCTTGGTGTACACTCACTTTTCTTTTGGTATATAAAGAATTGGCATTCCTGGGTGATAAGGATCATATGTTAATTTAAATTTTTCAGGGTCCACTGAAGTGTTAGCACCAAAATTGTAAGCTTCAGTATTTTTCTTATGTCCAGTGGCCTTACATTATTCTTTTCTTTGGTCGTGCTATTCAAACTTCAGCTTCCATCAGAATCCCATGAACACAGATTGCTGGACTCCACCCCCAGAGGTTCTCATTGAGTCTGAAATAGGGCAGGGAACTCACATTTCTACACACTCCCAGTCGATGTTGTTGTTACTGTGCCTACACCACATTGAGGACCATCCCATTCTAGTTTAATAAAATTGCACGTGCTCTGTATACAGTCTTCGTTTCCAGGCAGATGTTCTATTCTATTCCATAGTCCTTTTCCTTGCATTGACTCATTTGTTCCAGGATTTACAACTAGGAAAGAAGTTGGTGTCTTTCTTAAATATAAATCATTGCAAGATAGCAAACCAAAGTCACCATGAAGCAGTTGCACTCCGTCTCCCTTGAGTTATTTTCCAGTCCAGTTCTTATGTAGATATTAACTGGTATGAGAATATATTTTAATAAGGCTGAACTCAGTTGTAAGGGATTTGTGTTAAGGCTCAAAAATAGAGCAAGTAATTTACTTGTGGACTTGCCCCCCCTCCCAGACAGTCAAATCCCTCTCCATGGAATGGTGAACTCTCACTGATTTTGCTTCTTTTTTGACAATTCCCTATCTTCAAATGTAATTTCCCCTGGCCCTGTCTGTTAATGGGTCGTACTGCAGCAAATAAGTTCTCTCGTGGACATAAAATAATCTGTCAGAATCTGTGTTGCTGTGAATAATTGCAAAAAACTATAAATTATGGGATATGGGGAATTTGCAGGACTCTCCATTTAGCTGTAATGCCATAATAAAAAACAACACGAACAAAGAACTTTTAGTATTCCAAGAATAAGCAAGACTGCATCATATATTAGAACTGTGTCTTGTATAAACAACAAAAGTTTTAACTGTAGGTAATGATTCTGAGCAAAGAGTAAAGAAAGTAAAGTTTAAGGTAAGTCCCTCAAATTTAAGTTCAGCTATGCATGAAGTGATTGCCAATAAAACTTTATGAGTCATCTGCTTTATACACAAATGTCCATTAAGGCATTGTTCTAGAATTTTCTTTTTATTGGAATTTTTAAAAAATGTCTTCAAGTTATGTCTTTGCATCATAAAATTTCTTAGAAACTTTTAAATAATCATGTTTTTATAGTGATGACAAATAATACAGGCTTTTGCTCTCACCACCCTGCTGTGTTTGAAAGGCTCCAGTGTACCCTGAGAGCACAGCCTCTGGAATTAGATCAAAGTCCTAGCTTGACCACTTACCATCTGAATGCACTCCAGCAAGTTATTTCACAAAGTCTCTGGGTCTCGGTTTCCTCATCTGTAATAATAGTATTTACCTCAGCAGATGTTAGTGAAGAATTAGTGAGTTTAACATTTGCAAACAATACTTCATGCATAATTTGTGTCCTTAGTGTGTCAACATCGTAGAAAACACGATGTCAATTTTTCCCATTTTGGTGGCATTAAGTTTGATCATTTGGTTCAATGATATCCACCAGACTTCTCCATGTATAAAGAAACATTCATCCATTTTTTTTCCCAACTGCTCTGAGCCCAGGAGGCAGACCTCTATGGACTCCACCAACAGGCTCCCATGCTCTCTGGCTTCCAGGGAAAAAATAGCTTTGGAATCACAGGACTGGAGGACAGAAACAGGCTATAATGAAGGAACTGGTGAGGTGGATGTATCCTTCTTAATTGGAAGTCCTTGGTGAGTTCTTATCCACAGCTATGAAGAAAAACAAGGAAAAAAACAAGTCCAATACCAGTGAAGGGTGTACATTGAAGATTGTCTGGACCCCCTAGTTTTAGTAAATACAGAAATGAGAATCATCTATTAAAATGGTCTTTAGAAGTAAATAATAATAATGTAACTTTGCTATTTTAATCATGTAACTTTGCTATTTTGCTATTTTAATCACTTTTAGTGTTCAGTTCTGTTGTGTATTAGAGTTATCCGGAAAAACAGAACCAAACTGGTGTGTGTCTGTACATATACATATGTGTATAAAGAGATTTATTTTAAAGTATTGGGTAACATGATTATATTGGTTTAGCAAGTCCAAAATCTTCATGGTAACCTGGCAGACTGGAGATCCAGAGAAGACTTGCAGGGCAAGCCCAGAGCAGTCAGCAGACAAATTCCTTCTAGCTCATGTAAGTTACTGCTTTTCTATCCATCCCTTCAAGTGGATGAGGTCTACTGTAATTATGGAGGGTCTGCTTTTCTCAAAGTCTACCGATTTAAATGTTGATCAAAAAAAACACCTGAAAGAAACATCCAGAATAATGTCTGACCAAATTATCTGGATACCATGGTCTAGCCCAGTAAATCCACAAAATCAACCATCACGTGTGATATTAAGTATATCTACATTGTATGATCATCATCATCCATCTTTGGAACTTTTTCATCTTCTCCAGCTTAACATATTTTTGTATCATTAAACACTACCTTCCAATCTTCACAACCCCAGTCCCTGAAAACTACCATGCTACTTTCTACTGTCTATGAATTTGACTACCCTAGGAACCTTGTATAAGAGGAATCCTACAACGCCTGTCCTTTTGTGACTTGCTCATTTCACATAGCATAATAAGCTTCATTTGGGGCATTTTGAAATGATCTACTTTTTCCTGTTGTCAACTTGCAAGATTTTCTTTTTTCTGGGATAAAGTACTTTATTTTTTTATTTTATTTTTTTTAAATGTTTTATTTATTTCTAGGAGAGAGAGAGAGAGACAGCGTGAGCAGGGGAGGGTCAGAGAGAGAGGGAGTCACAGACTGAAACAGGCTCCAGGCTCTGAGCTGGCAGTCAGCACAGAGCCCGACGCGGGGCTTGAACCCACGAACCGCGAGATCATGAGCTAAGCGAAAGTTGGACGCTTAACCGACTAAGCCACCCAGGCGCCCCTGGGATAAAGTACTTTAATATGAGTAGTTATGGGTTATTCTTTTTTTTTTTTTTTAAGTATTTATTTTGAGAGAGAGAAAGAGCGATAGCAGGGGAGGGGCAGAGAGAGGCAGAAAGAAAGTATCCCAGGCAGGCTCCGTGCTGTCAGCACAGAGCACAACATGGGACTCAATCCCACAAACCGTGAGATCATGACCTGAGCCAGAGTCAGATGCTTAACCGACTGACTGGGCCACCCAGGCACCCCTTTCTGTTCAGTTTTTTAAAAATTTAATTCCAGTGTAGTTAAAATACAGTGCTGTATTAGTTTCAGGTGTACAATAAAGCAATTCAACAGCTCAGGCTCTTGACTTTAAATACTTGGAGACTGACAAACACAAAAATCCTCAACAAAATGCTAGCAAACCAAATTCAGCAGCACCTTAAGAGAGTTATACACTATGATTAAATTGGATTTATCCTTGGGATACAGGAATGCCTCAACTTATGTAAAACAGTAAATGTAATACTCCACATTCACAAAGGATAAAAATCATGTGATCATCTCAATGCAGAAAGAGCGTTTGACAAATTTTAACATCTTTTCACGATAAAATTTTGTAACAAATTAAGTAGATAAGAAACTTAACATAATAAAAGACATAATACTAAAAGCACATAGCTAACATCATAATCAACACTGAAAACCCAAAAGCTTTTCCTTTAAGATTACGAACAAGACACTCTCCACTTTAATTTAGCATTGTACTAGAAGTCCTAACCAGAGCGATTAGACAAGAAAAAGAATTGAAAGGCATCTGAAATGGGAAGGAAGGAATAATGTTGTCTCTGTTTACAGATGAAGTGATCTTACATGTAGAAAACTTGAAAGACTGAACCAAAACAAACTAAAAACTAACAAATGAATTCAGTAAAGTTTCAGAATACACAATCAACATACAAAAATCCATTTTGCATTTTAAAACTCTAACAACAAATTATCTGGAAAAGATATTAATAAAACAATCCCCTTTACAATAGCAACACAAAAAAATAAAATACATCAGAGTAAATTTAACAAAACAGGTGAAAGATCTGAACACTGAAAACTATAAAACATTGATGAAAAACACCAAAGGCACAAATAAATGGAAAGATACCCATATTTGATGATTGGAAGAATTAATGTTGTTAAAATGTTCATTCTACCCAAAGTCATCTACAGATTGAATGCAATCCCTATCAAAATTCCAATGACACTTTTCACAGAAATAAAAACAATCCTAAAATTTTTATGGAACCACAAAAGATACTTAGCTTAATCTTGAGAAAGGAGAACAAAGCTAGAGGCTACAAACTTCCTGTCTTCAAGCTACACTACAAAGTTATACAAATCAAACCAATAAAGCTCTGGCATAAAAATCATAAGACTGGTGTGCTCGCTTCGGCAGCACATATACTAAAAATCATAAGACTGGTATTCTTTATATGTGGGAGTTTGATTTTCAGCAAGTGCTGTCATTATGTGATTTCACTGCGAAGTAAAGTGGAAGAGAAACAGCTCTAAATGCCACCTCTTGTGTTTTAAAAAACCCAAATAGAATATTTATGATCTCTTTACAAAATAAATATAGGTTCCAGAACAAAGTCATTTAATACAGGACATGCACAGTATACACAGAACAATCATATTCCCTATGTGTCCTATGTATCTGCTCTTGTGCCTAAAACCCAATTGGTGATCATTTAATATTTGTTAGAGCACCACATGACAATACAGCTTCCCAATTCATTTTTATAGTTCCAGAAACTGTCTTTATTTCTGCCTTATTTCTACTACCAAGCTGTTCCTGTTTTCAAATTTCAGCAAGAGTTTTGGAGATTGAATGATGAGTGTGGCCCAGGCTTCAGCACGGCTTCATTCTGACTTCCCCAATTTCACTGCCTTTTGCTCAATATTCACTGAGACCTGAACATTTTTTCACCTGTCACAGATCATTTTCTCTATAACCATTTATACTATGTCTCTTTGAAAAATAATCATTATTAATAGCTTTCAGTAAGTGCTATCTCACAAGTGTTTTGTAATCTCAACCCCCTTTCCTGATACTGTGGCAGAAATTACATGGAAAATGATAAATCTTTTACCAGCAGGGAGATGGGATCATGGATTCCTAAACCCTTACGGGGATAAGGTGTCCCCTTTACACATGCGGTTAGACTATTAGAATCGGACGCCCTTTCCTTGCAAGAAATGTCAGATGATAAGTCGCTCTTCAGATAAGTTTTAGACTTTTTTTTTTAATGTTTATTTATTCTTGAGAGAGAGACTATGAGCAGGGGAAGGGCAGAGAGAGGTAGACACAGAATCTGAAGTACGCTCCAAGGTCAGAGCCTGACTCTGGGCTGGAACTCAAAAACTGCCAGATCACGGCCTGAACCTAAGTCAGATGCTTAACCCACTGAGCCACCCAGGTGCCCCTAGTTTTACACTTTAAAAGGAGAGAAAAATACTCCACACATGGAGTAAGAGGCATTATATGCATAACAATGTTTTTTGCTCTCTTGGAACACCATCACTGATACACAGGTAGGAAATGTTTTCAGCGGAAAGGAGGTACAGCGTTACCCTTCTGACAATTCCTGTGCCTCCTGACACTTCTCTGACTCCCCTGTCAGGACCGTGTCCGGGGTCTTGTCTTACTGTCCCGGACCAAACTTACTGAAGGCCATAAGCATGACTCCAAAGTTTCATCTACGCGTATTTGATAAACAAGAAAGCGTGGGTTTGTAACTACATCTGTGACGTCCTGGACGGCAGCCGGTAAGGCTCCTTAAAGACCCGCATCGCCCCTCCCACTTTGGGGCCCCGGAACTCCGTTTCCCAGCACCGCTCACCTTCTCGCTCTTCATCCCCAAAGGCAGGGACGACCTTCATTCCGAGGCAGCGGGCTTAACGGCTTCCAAACCACACTCCCCAGAAGGCGCCGCGCGCGCGGGGCTGACCAAACGAGCCAACGAACGCGGAGCCTAGAGACGTTTGTGCGCGAGCGCACCGCCTGGGGCGGCACTTCCGGTGGCGTCCTCGTGGTGTTGGGTGTCGGGTGGAGGAGGGAGAGTCGCGGTTATTTCCGAAGGGCTGCGGGGAGGGCTGCACGGGACACGGGGGTTGGGCGTCCACGCTTTCTTCGTGAGGGAGCAGATTTGACCCGGGAGGAATCCTGGGCTGTGTCAGCACTAGGAGGGCAGGGCCCGGAGGGAGTGTACGCAGACGCAGAAGCGTGAGGTGGTGTAGACCCGTTGGCCTGCGGGTCCGTGTGCCCTCAGCGTCACTTCCTGCGGATTGAAAGCTAGGGTAGTGGAGCCCTGGGGCCCAGGCGGGCACTGCTGCCGCCTTCCCCTGTCCGGGCGAGAGGAATGATCCACGGCCACCGCCGAGGACCCCCCGTCACGTGCATCCTTGAGAGGGTTACGCAGCAGGCAGGGAGCTTCCGAGCCTGCTTAGCTCGTCCAGACAACTCCTTCAGGTAAGTGGGTATGAGATGGCTATTGATTTAACCACCAGGTAACCAGTATCCCCCTGTAAGATGCGCATAGATACACAGATGGACACTTAGAAATGTATTCAGTAACTTGGACATGCAAGCCACTTGTGAGGGGCTGGAATGTTCATTTATGTGTGTTTGCTGACAGTGGAAAACTGCATGTGCCATCCCCTTGAAACCTTTAAAAGCAGGAGCGTTTACACTCAAACTTTCAAACCGCGGGGCGCCTGGGTGGCTCAGTCAGTTAAGCGTCTGACTCCGATTTCTGCTCAGGTCATGCATGGTCTGGTTCATGCGTTTGAGCCCCATGGCAGGCTCTGCACTAACAGTGATGAGCCTGCTTGGGATTCTCTCTCTCTCTCAAAAATAAATGAATGAACATTTAAAATATATTCTAAAAAACTTTTAATGTTCATTTTTGAGAGAGACAGAGCGTGAGCAGGGGAAGGGCAGAGAGAGAGGGAGACACAGGATCTGAAGCAGCTCCAGGCTCTGAGCTGTCAGCACAGAGCCCAGCGCGGGGCTCGAACTTACAAGCCGTGAGATTGTGACCTGAGCCGCAGTCAGGCGTTTACCTGACTGAGCCACCCAGGCGCCCCTGTAAACATTTCTGTGACGTCCCAGACTGCACCCCAAGGGAACCCGGAAGGGCTCCTATAGGAGCCGGCACAGCCCCGCCTCGTTTGGAGCCCAGGAACCCCACTTCCCAGCGCCGCTCCCGTCCTCCTGACGCTCTGCGCCGCTGCTCCGCTTCCCTGTGTCTGGAACGCCTGTGGTTTCACCTGACTCGGGGTCTAAACCCAGAGCTGCAGTGTATGGGTCACTTCTGGCCTGAGAACAGATGGGGTGGGATTCTGAGGGGTGTCCAGGCACGGAATCCGGAATGTTGAAACGATCAGGGTGAAGGTGTCCACGTAGCTGGGCCCTGAGCGGAGAGAGTGAACAGCGTTTGCGGCGCAGAAGACTGAGAGCCCAAGGGTGTGTGAGGTCCTCACATGGATTCTGCAGGGTGCGGTGAAGCAAGAACGGGCCCGGGTGCTCTCTGGCCTGGGAGACTGTGGCGCTCTCCTCGGGGATGACCTAGGATTTTCTTTGGGGAAGAGAAGGGTGCTGAGTGCATCTGCCCTGCACTGTCTGGATGTCGCGTGCGTGGGAATCAGTCGAGCGTGAGCCGGAGTGCGGCGGAGTAGGTGCACCAGGGGAGGAGGGGCGGGAGACGGGGGGGGGGGGGGGGGGGGGGGGGGGGGGGGGGGGGGGGGGGGGGGGGGGCGGGGGGGGGGCAGTCCACACAGTGACGAGCAGCCGAGGAGGAGTGTGAGTGGTTGGCTCTAGGGCCCGTGCTGGTCATTTAAGGCAGACAGATGACTCGCGGTTTGGCTCTCTTCGAGGCAAGATCTGGGAGACCCCCGAGAGGGTGGGGCCCCCCTGCTTGGCCCAGAGCTTAGCAGTTGCTTTTCTGTTCCCTTTGCACGTGTTTACTCCGTGCCGCACGCAGGGAGAGTGAGTGAGCGGGCGAGCCAGCAGGCCTGGCAGCTCTTCCTCTTGGGGACGGCGGGGGCAGGGTGGGCAGGGGGTGCATGTCGGTGGAGGGGGAAGGCTGAACATCCCAGACGCAGAAGTTCCGCAGGTACTGAACTGGCACGATTGCCGAGGGCCAGGCGATCTCTCAGGACGCGGCCGGACGTTTCCCGCGGGAGGAGTGGGGCCTCGTTGGTGAGACTGCGACGCCTGCGGTGCCGCGTGATGCTGGAGAACTCTGCGCTTCGGGCAGGGCCAGGTGAGGTGCTCAGATGTGCTCCAGCCCTGAGCCGGCCGCTGCTCTGCCCCCTCGGCCCCAGGGCACATCTGGGCTCACCAGGGCCAGACCGTGGCTACCGTTTCCTTCCTTGGCACATTTGTGGTGGGTGCGGGGCTGGGCCGCGAGCGCTGTACCGCCTTTCCCCACGCGCCCCGTCTCTGCTCTGAAGCCTCGCAAGGTTTGGTTAGGGAGTCAGAAGTCCTAAAGTCTTCCAAAGAGGTCGCGGTGGGCTCTTGTGTCCCTTGGCAGGTTACTGTCCCCAGATGAGTGCCTCTGTGCCCGATTGTCCCCTCTCTTTTTACGATTCTTGGGGCCTCCGTGTGCCAGGAATCTCAGCCACATAGGTCTTTAGTCGTGCGGACCCCTGGGTTGATTCTGCAAGCCCCTCCTCTGAAGTTCTTGTAATTCTAGAAGTGGGGAGGTCATGGGTGGGACTGTCGAGGGCACGGGAGTCTGTTCCCAAGCTCTGATCTGTGCCGGGTCCCACATAGTTGGTCTCCTTCAGGAAGAGGGATGGCCCTGCGTGCCTGAGGCCTGGACAGGACATGCTCAATGGGACTTGGGCCCAGTACATCAGAGCTGAGGGTATATGTTGGAGCTGGGTTCAGATCACATTGGGAACCTGTCTGGCGTCCCCCATTTTTGATCCAGGGTCAATGGCCACACCTGATGTACACCCTTTCTTCTCCATTATTTCTGCTGTGACTTCCAGCTCTTGGTGTCCCCTGTGTGCTCCTTACGGTGTCCTCCGCCTGTCACCCCTCCCTTCCACTGCTTCCTCGCGGGCCCTCCAACACTTCAGCTTTGCTTCAGGCGGTGTCACAGTCTGCGCACGGCCTTAAATGGTCCTTGCACGTTTCTGGGCGTGGACTCAGTCTTCTGTTGAGCGCTCACCAGTCACCAGCGGCCATGGCCTTGTTGAAAGTCATTTGCAGAGGGGAGAATACGGGAGCCCAACTCTCCTCCCTGCACTCACCCCGGCCTGGTGTCCTTCTCCAGGGTCAGGGCTGTCCCGTCGTGGGCGCCGGCCGGGCTCAGGCCCTCCTCTCACCGTCTCAAGTCCCCCCAGCCTGTGACCAGTCCATGGCCTCATCCGTGGGGCGTCTGACACGCATTCCCGACGGGGCTGCCTCTTCCCAGCAAGGTCAGTGTGCGCGTGCATTTCTCTGCCTGCAGGTTGCTGGCACGGAGCCCGGAACGAGGAGGCCCCTTCAGAGCACAGTGTTTCTGTCGGAGCATCACAGGTCTGTCCGGCCGTCCAAGAGGCCCAGCCCTGTGAGACGCGTAGCTCACTCTTGAAAGACCTCTTGCACTTTGCTGACAGGATGGTCTACACCCCGAGCAAGGCCTGTATGCTCATGGGGGAAAGCATTACGGGCACCAAAAGCATCAAATTAGAGTGGAGCTTTCCAGAAGTGATGGCGGAAGGCCTTCATCTGCGAAGAACTGCAGAAGTTACGTGACAGAATCTGTATCTGCATTGAGAATGTGAAGGACTTCACAGGCAGCCCAGGCCGCCCCAACAGCAGGCCCTTCACAGTGAGCGGAAACAAACGGGACTCGGTGGGTGGACAGAATTGGGGCGGCTGGCTGGCTCAGTCAGTAAGGCATGCAACTCTCTCTCTCTCTTTTTTTCTTTTTTTTTTAAGTTTATTTTGAGAGAGAGAGTGCTCATGAGCATGTGCGCAAATGAGACGGGGAGTGGCAGAACAAGAAGGGGAGAGAGAAAATCCAAAGGAGGCTCCAAGCTGTCAGTGCAGAGCCCAAAGTGGGGCGTGAACCCACGAACCCAAAATCAAGACTCGGACGCTTAAGTGACTGAGTACCCTAGGTGCTCCGAACAGACAACACTTTTTTTTTTTTTAATGTTTATTTATACTTGTGTGAGAGAGAGAGAGCATGAGTGGGGCAGGGGCAGAGAGAGAGGGTGACATAGAATCTGAAGCAGACTCCAGGCTCCGAGCTGTCAGCACAGAGCCCGATGCGGGACTCGAACCCATGAACCGGGAGATCACAACCTGAGCTGAAGTCAGACGCTTAACTGACGGAGCCACCCAGGCGCCCCGAGCTTGCAACTCAATCTTGGGTTCGGGAGTTCCGTCTCCACATTGGGCGTGGAGCTTTAAAAACAAAGTGGACAAAATTGTTAGAAACGTGAATGTGAGAAAAGCTTCAGCTGCACAGACATAAGTGTTGACTGTGAGAAAATCCACACTGGGGAATGGCTGTGTAAGTGCAGTGACTATAGGAAAGCCTTCTCCTCAAACATAAGCTTGTTAAGAACCAGAAAATCCAAACTGGATAAAGGCCTTACGTGGGAAGTTCCTTGGGTGCATGCCAGTCTCATCAAACAGGAGAGTTTTCCTGGAAAAAGGCCTTCTGAGTGCCCCAAATGTGGGGATTCTGTTAGGTGTAGCTCTAACCTCAGTGGGTGTGAGTTCACACTGGAGAATGGCCTTAAGAGTGTTGGGTGTTCACATCCATTAGAGACTGGAGAATTCACACTGAATGAAGAAAGTCCTTTCGTGTTTAGCCATCCTGGGGGGTTCTTGAGACGCAGCTCCACGCTCCTGGGCATTGGAGGGTTCACACTGGAAAAGGACTTACAACAGCGATTGGCTGTTGTGCGTGATATTGTGAGCATGCGTGTACCAAGGTCCCTTTGAGACTGTTTGGGACCCTTCAGTTCTTTATAGTATATACTCAGATGTGAGATTGCTGGTTCTTATGGCGCTTCGGTTTAAATGTTTTGCAGAACTGTTTCTGTATTTTTTTAATGGTTTTTTTTTGTTTGTTTTTTAATTTCTGAGAGAGAGGGGCAGTGTGAGCAGGGGAGGTCAGAGAGAGAGGGAAACACAGAATCTGAAACAGTCTCCAGGCTCTGACAGCACAGAGCCTGACGCGGGGCTCGAACCCACAAACTGTGAGATCATGACCTGAGCTGAAGTCAGACGCTTAACCAACTGAGCCACCCAGGCGCCCCTGTTTCCGTACTTCCATACCCAGTTCCTATGCCCACCAAGAGTGCACAGGATCCCAGTTTCTCCAAGTACTCATTGAATCTGTTTTTATTGTTTCTAGCATTATGATTATGACTTTGATATCCACTATCCTAATGTGTGTGAGGTGGTGTCTCACTGCGGTTTACATTTGCATTTTCGTCATGGCCAGTGATGTCGAGTGTCTTTTTATGTGCCTCTTGGCCACTTTTGCATCATCTTTGGAGAGATATCTGTTCAAATCACGTGCCCATTTTCAAACTGAATTATTCTTGTTTACCTTTAGGAGTCCTTCTATGTGTCCACTTATTAGATAATTTACAAGTGTTTTATCGTTCTGTGAGATTCCTTTTCTCATGATATGTTTCCTTCAGTGTGCAAAAGTTTTTCCTTTAAAAAAATTTTTTTTAAGTTTATTTATTTATGAGAGATAGAGCATGAGTGGCGGAGGGGCAGAGAAAGAGGGCGACACAGAATCCGAAGCAGCTCCAGGCTCAGAGCTGTCAGCACAGAGCCTGATGCGGGGCTCAAACTCACAGTACGTGAGATCATGACCTGAGTTGAAGTTGGACACTTAACCAACTGAGCCACCCAGGCGCCCCGGAAGTTTTTCCTGTTGATATACCCCAATTTATTTTTACTTTTGTTATGTGTGCTTTTGGTGTCATATCCAAGAAATTGTTGCAGTTGGGAATGGGATCTTTTGTTTTGTTTTCTTTAGATAAAAGGATAGGGGGCTAAAAAAGCAGCAGGAGTTGAAAGATGAGGAGAAAGAAGAAAAAGGGAATGTAAGTAAGGGAAGATGATATGCTGTAAAAGGAACAGAGAAGAAAGTTTTTAATTATTTTTTTAAGTTTATTTTTAAAGAGAGCAAGCGCGCATGCATGAGTGGGGGAGGGACAGAGAGAAGGAGAGAGAGAGGATCCCATGCAGGCTCTGAGTTGTCAGTGGGGATCCCATTGTGGATCTTGAACCCACGAACCATGAGATCATGACCTGAGCCAAAATCAAGAGCGTGATGCTTAACCGAATGAGCCACCCAGGCACCCTTTTGTTTTATTTTGTTTTGTTTTCTCTTAATTTTTAATGTATTCTAATATAATTTTTTTTAATGATTTTTCTAAATGTTTTATTTATTTCTAGGAGAGAGAGAGAGAGACAGCGTGAGCAGGGGAGGGTCAGAGAGAGAGGGAGTCACAGACTGAAACAGGCTCCAGGCTCTGAGCTGGCAGCCAGCACAGAGCCCGACGAGGGGCTCGAACCCACCAACCGCGAGATCATGACCTGAGCGAAAGTCGGACGCCCAGCCGACTAAGCCACCCAGGCGCCCCATGTATTCTAATATAATTTAATTTAATTTTAAATGTGAGAAAGTTTGATTTTTATTGACAACCTCTTTTGTGACAGGTCTCATGATAGGGACTTTACAAGCACCATCTCATGTAATCCTCAAGCCAGTTACCACAATTGAGAAAAAAAGCTTGAAGAAGTCAACAGAGAGTATGATAGAGGAGATGGGGAGAGAGAACAGACAGACCCGGGAACCAATCTCAGATTCTCGTCTCTAGTAGTAGATTTAAACTCCATAGCGCAATGCATTGTAGGTGAAATTTCAATTAATTCCACCTAAATGTAAAGCTTTCTGTTCCATAGGAGTCATGAAAGTCAAAATTCAGATTGAGTTAGAAGACAGAAAAGACATTTAAAATCTCTGAACAGGCTCCGTGTTACACAAGGAAGTTGTAGATGCTCACTTAGGATTCAGTTGTCAAACCCCCTGCAAATGAACTAAAGCAGGAGCAGAGGGGCGCCAGCTGGCCATCAAGGCCGTGACGCCCCGACTCCTTCCTATTAAAGAAAAACAGATGCAAGCACAGTCCGGTAGGTCCTTCAAATGACCGGACTCCGGAAAGCGGGCACAAAGCGCTGCCGAAGCGGTCGCGTCCACCACAGGGGGGTCTAGCGCTGCCGCGATGATGTGTGTTTATTTTCCGCCGTGAAATACCTGGGAATGGAATGGCAGGGTCAAAGTGTGAGTGAACGGTTAACGTTCTTTTTCAAAGTAAACTTTACTTTTGGAAAGGTTTAAGAGAAAAACAGTCCCCTTCAGAGCCACTTGTCCCCACGCTGACGTTTTCCAGCAAGTAAGGCATCGTGTTATCACGTGGTACATTTCTTACAATGTTGAGTTAAATGGTAATAGTTATAGGGGCACCTGGGTGGCTCAGTTGGTTGAGCATCCAACTACAGCTCAGGTCATGATCTCACATATTGTGAGTTCGAGCCCCACATTGGGCTCTGTGCTGACAGCTCAGAGCCTGCAGCCTGCTTTGGAGTCTGTGTCTCCCTCTCTCTGTACTTCTGCTCATACTATCTCTCTCTGTCTCTCAAAAGAATAAACGTTAAAAAAATTTTTTTAATTTTAAAAATGGTAATTGTTATTAACTAAAGCTCACAGTCTGCATTAGGGTTCACTGTTTGCGTTCTACATTCCGTGGATTTTGAGACCTGTATGATGTCAAGTTGCAGCTATTCCAGCATGGCATAGAGTAGTGTCCCTGCTCCATCTGTTTACCCTCCCTCCCCTCTCCCTTGTCAACCCTGATTTATTTGGGGGTGGGGTGAGGTAGGTGGTCATAACACTTAATATGAGATCTGACAATTGTTAAGTTTGCAATACTTTACTATCACCTGTAGATACAATGTTGTACAGAGATCTGTACGGATGTTCACTCAGTCTTGCGTTCCCAGACAAATCCCACTTGCTCCTGACGTATTATTCTCCAGATACGCAGCAGAATCAGATTTTCTGATAATGTTTTAATGTTTGTTTATTTTGAGAGAGAGAGAGAATGTATGAGTGGGGGAGGATCAGAGAGAGAGGGAGAGAATCCCAAGTAGTCTCCAAACTCAGCATGGAGCCTGATGCAGGACCTAATCTCATGACTGTGAGATCATGACCTGAGCCAAAATCAAGAGTCCAATGCTTAACCGACTGAGCCACCCGCCCCTTTTCTGATAATCTTAATATATTTGATATCTTAATAGATAAGGGTTAATTGGTTGGTAGTTTTCATGGGTTGTCTCTGTCTCAGTTTGAGATCAGAAGAATCTTAACCTCATAGAATGAGTTAGGAAATGTTTTTTCTTTATTTTCTGGAAGAATTTGTGAAGAATAATGGCATTTCTTGTTTTAAATGGTAGAATTCCCTATTGAAGGCATTTGGGCTTGGGATTTCCTTGTGGGAAGATTTTCTTTTTTTTTTTTTTTTTTAATTTTTTTTTAATGTTTT